GAGAAGATGTACACAGGCACAAAGGAAAAAAGGGAGAAAGCACAAATACACAGGATCATAAATGAAAGAGGAGAAATCACAACGGACACAGCAGAAATCAAAAGAATAATCAGTAACTACTATGAACAGTTATATGGAAACAAGTTCAACAATCTAGAGGAGATAGACAAATTCCTACAACTCTACAATCACCAAAGCTAGATAAAGAAGAAATAGAACACCTAAACAGACCAATTAAAGCAGTGAAATTGAAATGGTAATCAAAAACCTCCCCAAAAACAAAAGCCCAGGACCTGATGGATTTACAAATGAATTCTACCAAACATTCAGAGACGAATTAGTGACTATCCTTCACAAACTCTTCCAAAAAATTGAGAAGGAAGGGACAATACCAAACACGTTCTATGAAGCCAATATTACACTAATACCAAAACCGAATAAGGACAACACAAAAAGGAAAACTATAGGCCAATCTCCCTAATGAACACTGATGCAAAAATCCTCAATAAAATTTTAGCTATCAGAATCCAACAATGTATCCATAAGATAATACACCACGACCAAGTAGGATTCATTCCAGGGGCACAAGGATGGTTTAACATCCGAAAATCAATCAACGTTATCCAACACATCAACAAAAAGTAATATAAAAACCATATGATAATATCAATAGATGCTGAGAAAGCTTTCGACAAAGTGCAACACCCATTCATGATAAAAGCCCTTGAAATTCTTGGGATACAAGGAACATACCTCAACATCATAAAGGCATCTATGACAAGCCAACAGCCAGTATCATTCTCAATGGTGAAAAGCTGAAAGCAATTCCATTAAGATCTGGAACAAGACAAGGATGTCCACTCTCACCACTGCTTTTCGATATAATACTGGAAGTCCTAGCCAGAGCAATAAGACAAGAGAAAGACATCCAAGGAATCCAAATAGGAAAGAAGAAGTCAAACTATCACTATTTGCAGATGATATGATAATATACATAGAGAACCCCAAAATCTCCACAGAAAAACTAATTCAACTCATCAGTCAGTTCAGTAAAGTGGCAGGATACAAAATCAACACGCAAAAGTCAGTAGCCTTCCTATACACAAACAATAAATCTGAAGAAGAAGAAATCAAAAAACCATCCCTTTTGTTATTGAAACAAAAAAAATCAAATATTTGGGAATAAATCTAACAAAAGAGGTAAGGACCTATACAAAGAAACTATAAAACACTGTTAAAAGAAATAGAAGAAGACACAAAGAAATGGAAAGACATCCCCTGCTCATGGATTGGAAGAATAAACATTATTAAAATGGCCATCCTACCAAAAGCGATATACAGATTCAATGCTATTCCAATCAAAATCTCAATGGCATTCTTCAAAGAAATAGAACAATTATTGATGAAATTCATATGGAATCACCAAAAACCCGAATAGCCAAAGCTCTACTGAAAAAAAAGAAGGAAATGGAGGCATCAAACTCCCAGACTTCAAACTATACTACAAAGCCATAATCATCAAAACTGCATGGTATTGGAACAAGAACAGACATACAGACCAATGGAATCGAATAGAAAATCCAGAAATAAACCCACAGATTTATGGTCAACTAATCTTTGACAAAGTATCAAAGACTATGCATTGGAGCAAAGACAGTTTGTTCAATAAATGGTGCTGGGAAAACTGGGTCGCTACATGCAAAAGAATGAAGCTTGACCACTACCTCACACCATACACAAAAATCAACTCAAAATGGATTAAAGAACTAGACATAAGACCTGAAACCATAAAATACATAGAAGGAAATATAGGCGAAACACTATGGGATTTGCACATCAAAGACATCTTTACAGACACATCACCCAAAGCAGTGATAGTGAAGACAAAGATAAACAGCTGGGACTACATCAAATTAAAGAGCTTCTGCACAGCAAAAGAGACAATAACAAAAACAAAGAGAAACCCACCAACTGGGAGAACATTTTTGCACCCAACACTAATGATAAAGGACTGATCACAAAAATCTGCAAAGAGCTGATGAGACTTAGCAACAAAGAAAATAATCCAGTCAAAAAATGGGCAGAAGAGCTAAAAAGAAACTTCTCTGAAGAGGAAATGCAAATGGCCAACAGACATATGAAAAAATGTTCAACATCACTTGCAATCAGGGAAATGCAAATCAAAACTACCATGAGATACCATCTCACACCAGTGAGAATGGCACATATTAAAAAAACTAGCAACAACAAATGTTGGCGAGGATGTGGAGAAAAAGGAACTCTCCTGCACTGCTGGTGGGAGTGCAAACTGGTCCAACCACTATGGAGAGCTGTGTGGAGATTTCTGGACCTACTAAACATAGAGCTTCCATATGATCCAGCAATTCCACTCCTAGGTATTTACCCAAAGGACACAGAAACATCAATTCCAAAGAACACCTGCACCCCTATGTTTATAGCAGCACTGTTTACAATAGCTAAGCTTTGGAAACAAGCCAAATGCCCAAAAGTAGATGACTGGATCAAGAAGATGTGGTACATATATACCATGGAATATTACTCAGCATTCAAAAAAGATAAACACATGCAATTTGCAGCAACATGGATGGCGCTGGAAGGGATCATGCTCAGCGAAATAAGCCAAAAAGAAAAAGAAAAATACCGGATGGTCTCACTCATAGCAGGAATCTAGAAAACTTAAATAAGGGACCAGGAAAATGAATATAAGAAAGTGAAAATCAAAATCAACAAAAAACTATGAACCAGAGACACTTTTTGGGGGTGGGGGCGGGAGTGGAAGGATTGGGGTCAGAATGGGGCGTTTGCAATTGTATGGGGGAATATAAAAATAAAATTTAAGATTAAAAAAAAAAACAAAAAAAAAAAAAAAAAAAAAACAAAGTAACAGAAGAATAAAAATAAGATGACCATAGTGAAATGTAAGAAATTCCACAGGCTTGGAGAGCAGGAATGGGCATATGATAGCTGGTGGAAGATGAAGATGAAAAGATAGGCAAGCGTTTGCTATGTTGCCTGGTGCTGAGTTAAGAAGTCTGAACTTTATGCCCAAATCTCTACAGAGGTTGTGAAGGGCTTCAATCATGGAAGTGACAGTATCTGATTTTGATTTTAGGAAGATCACACCGTGATGGGGAGGGATCTGCAGGAGTGGTCCAAGTCAAAGGGGCTGGATTGGCAATTGATGGAATGATCCCAGGAAGGGAGAAGGATGGAGGAACTGACCCAGGGTGGGGAGGGGGAGGACTCCTGTCAAGAAGACAGAGACTTTGTGTGGAGTATTGGGAGATGGACTGCACTCCACACAGGAAGAGGAGAGGCCATTTAAGGTGTGAAGAGATTTTGGATACATGAGTGATAGGAGGTAGAACCTGAGCTGGAAGGAGCAGAGACATAGGAAAATGAAGGAAGGGGGAAGGAAGAGAAGAAATGATCTGACATCAAAAAATGAAATGGGGTCCTTTGTCATTAAGAAAAATTCCATATTGGGGCCTCCCTGGTGGCGCAAGGGTTAAGACACAACCTATGAAGCAATCCATAGCCTCTGCAGCACGAGTTCAATCCCGGCAGCCAGGGAGCAACCCACATGGCGCAGCAGACCTCTCCTGCCGCACCTGCTGCTCCCCTCAGCAATGTATTTCATCAGTCTGCCTGTTCTGTTCCCCACTCTGTCTCTGGTGAATCCTCTCACCACCCACACCTCTGGCCTGTACCCCAGCTCTTGTAAGCATAAATAAATAAATCTTTAAAAAAAAGACCATATTCATAGACTCCAAGAAGTTATTCATTACAAACATACAAAACTTAGTGTTTTAAGTACACTAAGAAAAAAAATATCCTGCTGGTTAAAATATGGCACATCCTCAGTTACTACAACATTCTGATTTCAGACACATTAAAATACAAATAATCATGCAACTCAAATTTATGAAAAGTAATTACAAGTTCAGGAAAATGCCCTCATTATTTTCCTTGCCCTGTATTCACTATGGATGAACTGGTAGACATTCATCAAAGATAAATAAATAGTTACATTCAAGATTTTCCTATTTTGCCTGATCACCTCTGTTCCTAAAATAATATTAGTAGTAATTTATAATAGTTGTTTGATTTTATTATTTTATTAGTTTATAATTATTTTTCTAATAAATCTTTCACAGAATAAAATTTTGCTCTCTGAATAATTCCCATCAGCATATAAAAATTTCATTGCTTATTAAAAAAGAAGAAAACTCACCTTCTGCTAGTGTGTCATTGACTGCAATCTCCCCCTGTACAGTCTGCTAGAGACTGCCTGCACACTTCCTTTCTTGAACTCATTCATTCTACTCAGGCTTCTATCCCCATAATTCCATAGGAACATCTCTTATCAAGGTTACCAAAGATGTCCTTGTAGCTTCTTCCACACGTTAGTTCTGTTTTCACTTTGAAGGTGAGGACTATTTATTCTATCAACAGGATTTGACATAATTATCCAATTTCTTTGTTTTGACAAAATACTCTGTACTTACTTGGGTTCTTGGATACTATACTCTCTTGTCTCCCTGGCTGCCTTTTAGCTTCCCTTTTATTCCTCACTATCATAATCATAACATCATCCCAATCTTTCAACATTAAATTCTCCATGGATCAATAACTGGACTCCTTCTTTCTTCTATCCATACCCTCTCCCAAGATAATCTCATATAGTCTCACAACATTAAATACCATCTCTATGTTAATTTATATCTCAGGTTCTCCCTTTGACTTTCCAAATGCCCACTCAATGTATCCATTTTGTATATAATAGACTTCTCAAACTGAGGTTCAAACCCAATTAGGTTCCAATTCAATTCCTCAAGTCCCATCAAAATGGATCCTCCCACAGCCTTTGCCATGTCAGTGAGGCAATCCCATCATTGCAATTGCTCAGGCAAATCTTTGTGATCATCCTTCCCTTTTCACTTTTCTCACAAGCATTTCCAGTTCATTGTCAAATAATGTCAGCGGTGCTTAAAAGTACATTCATGATCAAATGCCTTCTCACAAGCATCATTGCCATCATTATGGCCCATGCCACCATTTTCTTTCACCTTGATAAACAAAATAGCCTCCTCACTGGCCTCGTGGCATGTACTCTTATCCAGTGTAGGCTCTCTTTTGTTGAACAGTTCTAGTGATTCATTAAAAATGTAAGTCAGGTCCATTTACTCCACTGTCCAAATTTGCACTAGCTCCTAATTTCATCCAGAGTAAAATACAAAGTCTTTTCCATGGTCTACAAATTCCCATATGACCTGTTCCCTCACTCTCTGTAAAGAAAATATATTTCTCTGTTTACTTATTTGCTGTCTGCTCCTCTAAAACCATGCACTGAAACTCTAAAATGACTGAGAATTAGATTATTCACTGCAATATATCCAGCTCTTAAAACAATATCTGACATACCCTTGATATTCAATAAATATCGCTAAATGAATGACCAAATGGATGAATGAATACATTTCTGGATCATCCCTAGATTTCAGCAAAATATTCTCTGTGCATCCCTTTCCACATCAGTAATCTATTGAGGCAGAGCTGTGCTCTCTGTATACCTCTCCAGATGGATACTAGATTACATTACATGACAATGTCAGTAAAACACTCAACGGCCTTCTTGGAGAGAGAAGTATAAAAATAAGAAGTTATCATTATGCCATTAGCATTATTACTACTGGCCCGGCTGTTGCTGCTTCGACTACTAATAGCCTCTGCTCATTGCTACAGGCCTTTCTTATTTCTAGTCTCCTTCTCCTATCATCTTTCTTTTTCGTATTGCTTCTACCTTTGCCCTGTTTTATCAACATTTTATGAAAAACCACAATGTGAGTGTCATTAGCATGCCATTCATATCCTCTTCCCTCTACCAGAATAAGTCGCAGTAGCAATTGCCCTCTCAGCCTCATTCAGAGGAATTAGCGAGTAGTAGAGAGCAACACCTTTTTAAGAAGGACAGACTTGAAGTCAGGTTGTCTAGATTTAATTCTGACTCAATCACATATCGAGTAACCTCTCTCAACCCTGGTTACCTCAAGTAAAGAAAAGGATGCCTCTGACGCCTTCCTTACAAGAATGATCTGAGGGTTCAAAGTGCAATAGTACAATTCTTTAATACAAATAAATATTGGTTAAAAGTAAAACAAATGAACAGTTAATAAAAATAAACAAGCATAGTCCCTGGGACATGAGGAAGCACTGACTGAAGAGGGTCTCTTATTTCTGCCTCTGCAACCCTCAGTCCTTGCAGCTTGTCTTCCAGCTGGGCTGGACCACCTCCTGATTTTTTTATATGTCTCTGCTTTATTCATGATTTCTCTTTGCAGAAAAATATTTCAAGATGGAACACATTACCAAATAATTTTAGTAGCTATACTTTTAGATACAGAACTGTATACATATAAATTGTACATGAAGAACACTGAACTTTCACAAAGTAAAGGCAACTATGTACTGGTGTTTTGATTAAGAAATGGATCCCTCCAGAAGCTTCTCTCATTCCCTTTCAGCCACTGCCCCTTTCCCCCTCCCAAAAGATGAACTTTGGATTCCCCAGACAATGGATTAGTTTTACTGTTTGGGACCTGTGCAAGAAATGAATCTAACAGCATGCATTCTTTTGTATCTGGCTTCTTTGACTCAATAGTATGTTCAAGAGATTCTTCCCTACTCTTGCATGAAAGGGTAGTTATTCTTTCTCATTTCTGTACTGTAGTCCATCAGGTGACTGTATGACTAGTAATCTATTTTCTCACTGATTGGCATTTTCAATTTGGGACTGTTTAGAATAAAGTTCCTATGAACATTCATATCTTTTGGTGAGTGGCAATTGCTGGGTCATAAAACAAGGGCATATTGAGTTTTTAGAAGAGATTGCGAAAAGGATTTTCCAATGCAGTTGCTCTAATTTAATTCTCCCACAAGCAATGCATGTAAGTACCCACTGCTCCCACTGTCACTCCTTGAAGTTGTCAGTCTTTTTCATTTGATACAGACGGATGGCTGGGTTATGATGTTGAGCTGTGTCTTTCATCATTTACTTTTCTGTGGACTAGAAAAGTTAAACATAGTTTCAAATGCTTATGTGCTACTTTGATATTCTCGCTTTTGAAGATCCTGTGCATGTCTTTTACCCATTTTATTTTCTTACTGGGTTATTTACCTTTTCTTATAGGTTTTAATTCTTTTTTTTTTTTTAATAAATTGTATTGTTATATTCCCATACAATTGCAGCCCCCCATTCTGACCCCAATCCTCCCCTCCCACCCCTGCCCCCCTAAAAGTGTCTTTGTTTCATAGTTTTTGTTGATTTTGATTTTCACTTTCTTATAGTTATTCATTTTCCTGGTCCCTTATTTAAGTTTTCTAGATTCCTGCTATGAGTGAGACCATCCGGTATTTTTCTTTTTCTTTTTGGCTTATTTCGCTGAGCATGATCCTTCCAGCGCCATCCATGTTGCTGCAAATTGCATGTGTTTATCTTTTTTGAATGCTGAGTAATATTCCATGGTATATATGTACCACATCTTCTTGATCCAGTCATCTATTTTTGGGCATTTGGCTTGTTTCCAAAGCTTAGCTATTGTAAACAGTGCTGCTATAAACATAGGGGTGCAGGTGTTCTTTGGAATTGAGGTTTCTGTGTCCTTTGGGTAAATACCTAGGAGTGGAATTGCTGGATCATATAGAAGCTCTATGTTTAGTAGGTCAGAAATCTCCACACAGCTCTCCACAGTGGTTGGACCAGTTTGCACTCCCACCAACAGTGCAGAAGAGTTCCTTTTTCTCCACACCCTCGCCAACATTTGTTGTTGCTAATTTTTTTAATATGTGCCATTCTCACTGGTGTAAGATGGTATCTCATGGTAGTTTTGATTTGCATTTCCCTGATGACAAGTGATGTTGAACATTTTTTCATATGCCTGTTGGCCATTTGCATTTCCTCTTCAGAGAAGTTTCTTTTAAGCTCTTCTGCCCATTTTTGACTGGATTATTTTCTTTGTTGTTGTTGAGTCTCATCAGCTCTTTGCAGATTTTTGTGATCAGTCCTTTATCATTAGTGTTGGGTGCAAAAATGTTCTCCCAGTTGGTGGGGTTTCTCTTTGTTTTTGTTATTGTCTCTTTTGCTGTGCAAAGCTCTTTAATTTGATGTAGTCCCAGCTGTTTATCTTTGCCTTCACTATCACTGCTTTGGGTGATGTGTCTGTAAAGATGTCTTTGATGTGCAAATCCGTAGTGTTTCACCTATATTTCCTTCTATATATTTTATGGTTTCAGGTCTTATGTCTAGTTCTTTAATCCATTTTGAGTTGATTTTTGTGTATGGTGTGAGGTGGTGGTCAAGCTTCATTCTTTTTGCATGTAGCGACCCAGTTTTCCCAGCACCATTTATTGAACAAACTTTCTTTGCTCCAATGCATATTCTTTGCTCCTTTGTCAAAGATTAGTTGACCATAAATCTGTGGGTTTATTTCTGGATTTTCTATTCGATTCCATTGGTCTGTATGTCTGTTCTTGTTCCAATACCATGCAGTTTTGATGATTATGGCTTTGTAGTATAGTTTGAAGTCTGGGAGTCTGATGCCTCCATTCCTTCTTTTTTTTTCAGTAGAGCTTTGGCTATTCGGGGTTTTTGGTGATTCCATATGAATTTCATCAATAATTGTTCTATTTCTTTGAAGAATGCCATTGAGATTTTGATTGGAATAGCATTGAATCTGTATATTGCTTTTGGTAGGATGGCCATTTTAATAATGTTTATTCTTCCAATCCATGAGCAGGGGATGTCTCTCCATTTCTTTGTGTCTTCTTCTATTTCTTTTAACAGTGTTTATAGTTTTCTTTGTATAGGTCCTTTACCTCTTTTGTTAGATTTATTCCAATATTTGATTTTTTTTTGTTTCAATAACAAAAGGGATGGTCTTTTTGATTTCTTCTTCTTCAGATTTATTGTTTGTGTATAGGAAGGCTACTGACTTTTGCGTGTTGATTTTGTATCCTGCCACTTTACTGAACTGATTGATGAGTTGAATTAGCTTTTCTGTGGAGTTTTTGGGGTTCTCTATGTATAATATCATATCGTCTGCAAATAGTGATAGTTTGACTTCTTCTTTTCCTATTTGGATTCCTTGGATGTCTTTCTCTTGTCTTATTGCCCTGGCTGGGACTTCCAGTATTATATTGAAAAGCAATGGTGAGAGTGGACATCCTTGTCTTGTTCCAGATCTTAATGGAATTGCTTTCAGCTTTTCACCATTGAGAATGATACTGGCTGTTGGCTTGTCATAGATGGCCTTTATGATGTTGAGGTATGTTCCTTGTATCCCCAGAATTTCAAGGGCTTTTATCATGAATGGGTGTTGCACTTTGTCAAAGCTTTCTCAGCATCTATTGATATTATCATATGGTTTTTATATTTCTTTTTGTTGATGTGTTGATAACGTTGATTGATTTTCGGATGTTAAACCATCCTTGTGCCCCTGGAATGAATCCAACTTGGTCGTGGTGAATTATCTTATGGATACATTGTTGGATTCTGATAGCTAAAATTTTATTGAGGATTTTTGCATCAGTGTTCATTAGGGAGATTGGCCTGTAGTTTTCCTTTTTTGTGTTGTCCTGTTCGGTTTTGGTATTAGTGTAATGTTGGCTTCATAAAACGTGTTTGGTATTGTCCCTTCCTTTCAATTTTTTGGAAGAGTTTGTGAAGGATAGGCACTAATTCGTCTCTGAATGTTTGGTAGAATTCATTTGTAAATCCATCAGGTCCTGGGCTTTTGTTTTTGGGGAGGTTTTTTATTACCATTTCAATTTCGCTAATTGTAATTGGTCTGTTTAGGTGTTCTATTTCTTCTTTATCTAGCTTTGGGTGATTGTAGAGTTGTAGGAATTTGTCCATCTCCTCTAGATTGTTAAACTTGTTTCCATATAACTGTTCATAGTAGTTACTGATTATTCTTTTGATTTCTGCTGTGTCCGTTGTGATTTCTCCTCTTTCATTGATGATCCTGTTTATTTGTGCTTTCTCCCTTTTTTCTTTGTGAGCCTGGCTAGGGGTTTGTCTATTTTATTGATTTTTTCAAAAAACCAGCTCTTGGTTTCATTGATCTTTTGGATTGTTTTTTAGTTTCAATT